CCACAGAACCAGCAGTAAAAAAATTTGAATTTCACCACTGATCTGAAGTTATATGTGAAGTTACTGTATTCATGGTTTCAAGATAAAGAAATTTGCTTTAAGTTATCAAGAAATCAAATCAAAACTAAGTGTAGCAGTCTGGCAATGGACTACTAAAAAACATCATTAATGACATTTAGTATATTTTAACTTAGCTACAGTGACTAATAAATTAGAGCAATAGAGACACGTAAGTCAAAGTTAATGAGATACATGTGAACTGAACCCTATCCTAGCTACTTTCCCATTTGTTGTATCTCCCTCAGGTAGAATTAAATTTATCAAGCAGATACAGTTTTCCAGATAATAATTTTTGTTTCATTTCCCATTGTCCTAAAGTATAATATTCTTTCTAAAGAACAAATCTTTTAAAAGGGAACAAAGAGACATTCTGTCACTTCCCAAGTCACTTAAATTTCTGTGCATCAAATTCAGGAATTAAGATCTAATGCAATGCAAGACCATATTGCTTTTTAGGGAAGAAAGACATTTTAAGATGGAGAAATTTAGGTTGAAGACTGACTTAGATTCCAATTGTGAGATATTTAGTAAGCCAGATACCTCTTCCCTGCAAACTATCAAAACCTATTCGTCCATTTTCAGAAAATAGTCAGACATCTGCTAGGGGTGTACAATCTAAGGAAGTGCCAACATTTCAGTAGGACCACCACTTTGGTTTTTATATGTCATAACTCTTCTAGGTTAGGCTCTCTGCCAAGAGGAGTTGGCTTCCCCATAAACAGTCTGGCCTGGAACTGGCCATGTTGCTGTATTTTTTCCAAGTGAATGTTCCCAAAATTAGAAGATTTCCAGAAATAAGTAAGTTACATAAAAGCAAAATCCTTAAAATGGAAAACTGATTCAATGACCTCTGCAAGCTAAAGACACACACAAAGCCATTACCCAATATGATGTGTGTGTTCTGATCAGTCTTCTCAAAAAACGTCTCCTACACAAGTATTTTTAAAAGCTGGTGTCTAATATACCAGTATCTAGTATACATCTAGTATAAGGGTGTCAAATTTGATTTCATTGAGGGCCGCATCAGGGTTGTGTTTGACCTCGGGGTCCAAGGTGGGCATGGCCAGAGCGGGCACAGCCAGCTTGACATCACTTGTGTCGGAGGTGTCTGTGGTGGCCCGAGCGTTCTGCCAGTGAAAACGGGCACCTGAGCTCCGATTTTGGCCATGACGGCCTCCTGCTGCCCTCTGCCACTGAAAACGGAGCTCGGAGGGAACTGCGCGCAGACCCCCCCAACAAGCTGTTTTTGCTTTTTCAGATACATAAAGAACGGTTGCTGGAACTGGGTATGTCTAATTTAATGAAAAGAAGGACCAGGGGTGACATGATAGCAGTGTTCAAATATCTCTGTGGCTGCCACAAAGAAGAGGGAGTCAAGCTATTCTCCAAAGCACCTGAGGACAGGACAAGAAGCAGTGGGTGGAAACTAATCAAGTAGAGAAGCAACTTAGAACAATTGATCAGTGGAACAACTTGCCTCCAGAAGTTGTAAATGCTCCCACACTGTTAAGTTTTTAAGAAGAGATTGGATAACCATTTGTCTGAAGTGGTGTAGGGTTTCCTGCCTCAGCAGGGGTTTGGGCTAAAGACCTCCAAGGTCCCTTCTAACTCTGTTATTCTATTTCTATTTCTAAATGGCCATTGATTGAAGCTATCCAGATTTCTTCAGTTTTAAGAGTTAATGTGGAATCAACTTTTGAACTAAAAATTAAGGAATGGCCTCACTTAAATCCATCTTAAAATCCATCTAAATTGTTATTTTTGTAAGACTTACTTTAATAAAATTTTAAAATATCCTGTGTTTTGCAATTTGTGGAATTTTAAACAAAGGAAAGTATTCTTAAAATATAACCATCGTTTCACAATGTTTGCGCTTGTGAGAAAAATATTTGGAAAAATTGCCTGGATATGGCAACATAAAAAATGCTTAGAGTGCTAGACTCACAAAAAACACAAAGATGAAATTCTACAGAAGAGATTCGTATTTCTCTCCTTATAAATAACTGTAAAATTATAAAATTAATATTTACATTGCTGAAGGCAACATTGTTCTAGCAGAATCTAAAGTAAAAGAAAGAACAGCTAGGCATATGGAAAAAAAATAGAAGTGGGGAACATAAATAAGAAGGCAAAATGACTCAAGATTGTTTTGCCTCCTGTACGGATAAAAAAAATCTGAAAATCCAAATCATTCAAAACTATTATGTCTTTTTCTCAGATACAGAGCATTTTGGAAAAGCAGCTTTCTAACATAATTCCAAACAACAAAAATACTTTTTTTTGTATGAAATTAAAATTTACAAAGATGCCAGTAGGATCGCACGTAGTCCTCAACTTACAATCGTTCGTTCAGCAACCATTTGAAATTATAATGGTGCTGAACGAATGGAGCGATGTCTGCTTCCCAAAGCCATTGTAGCACTCCAACAGTCAAGATAGGAAAAGGAAGGAGTGTTAGATACGTTCACTGCCTTGAATTATTTGTAAAAATAATAAAGGCAGATTATTAATTAACAAATAAAATAAAAATGAAATACCTATGGGGAAAAAAAACATGTATATTTCCAGGACTATTATTGAAAATCTTCAGAATTATCAAAAATCTTTGGGGCAATCTCAATCATGCAACCCAGACAAAAAGGTCTAAGACTATTTCTGAGCTCAAGATAGAATAGAATAGAATAGAATAGAATAGAATAGAATAGAATAGAATTCTTTATTGGCCAAGTGTGATTGGACACACAAGGAATTTGTCTTTGGTGCATACGCTCTCAGTGTACATAAAAAGAAAAGATACATTCGTCAAGAATCATAAGGTACAACACTTAATGATAGTCATAGGGAACAAATAAGCGATCAAATCATATTAGGAAACAGTCAATATAAATCATAAGGATACCAGCAACAAAGTTACAGTCATACAGTCGTAAGTGGGAGGAGATGGGTGATAGGAACGATGACAAGATTAACAGTAGTGTAGACTTAGTAAATAGTTTGACAGTGTTGAGGGAATTATTTGTTTAGCAGAGTGATGGTGTTTGAGAAAAAACTGTTCTTGTGTCTAGTTGTTCTGGTGTGCAGTGGAAGTGGAAGTGGAAGAAACAATTCCAAAAACAAGAAGGGGTGGGTGGGTGGGAGACACCATGTTGACTCCCTGCAGAAAGTATATTACACAGAATAGATTGAAAACATCTGCACTGTTTTCTGATCTTGATTCTACAAGCAACTGGATATAAGTAGTGGTTTACATTCAAATCTGTAGCAACATGTAAATAATTCTGTACCACATATCAGTTTTTATCCACCTAGGGTTTTCTTGAAACACACATGGGCGTGCAAACTTTGTATGCAACAGTCATCTAAAAGGCATGCCTAATGCACAACTCTATGTTTTCTGGATGTATCTACAGCAAAATTCAGGAAGAGCAAGTGAAGAATTGTTTTTCAGAGTCTTCAAAGATTCACTCAGTTCAAAGTAGCCATCAGCAAGGAATACAAAACTACAGAAGATATTGCAGTGGTCAGAAGCATATATTGTATGTGCTGTCAGAACATGGCAGATATAACTGTTAGTTAAAAGGTACAGGCCATAAAGTTTATGTTTGGTTGATGTGTTGCTTTCATGGCAAAGTTGCATTTTATAGTTGAAAACAGTTGCACTATTTTCTTATTCATTCACAAGTAGAAAAGGTTTTTTGTTCTTCCAAAGTTTTCTATATCTTGCTATTGTTAAATACAGAGAGTAGCATTTTCATACATTATGACGTTAACTCAAAGGTAACATGAACACAGAATTGGAAAGGATCATATACAAAGGTTTACGCAGAGAAAGAAAAAAAGAAAGAAAGAAAGAAAGAAAGAGAAAAAGAAAGAAAGATAGAAAGATAGAAAGAAAGAAAGAGTGACTTTCCACTGATATGGAAAAGATACGAAGTTTTTTAAAATTTTCACAAATTAAGCTTTTATATGTTCACATTTGGATAATCTGAATAATATGTACTTATGAAGCATTTTAACAGTGAAATCATCCAAGTGTCTCAAAGGAACTAATGTATTAGACACAATAAATGAGCGAGCTGCATCTAAATCATCAAAACCTCTGCTTTGTTGGTTAAAATAAAACATGCCAGAAAAGTTGGTTTCTCATGTTATCATAGCTGTGGTCAGAAAATATGACACAAAGCAAAATTCACCATCCCACCAGGAAACGTGAAGCGCTTTATGGAGTAGGTGGCAAATGTGTGAATAATCTTTTATTTGCTGTCCCGTTTCCCAACTATTGCAGTCAGACTAAGTCAGAAAATATCAGGGGAATAGGAGAAAAAAAGGCTCTCTGTTCTAAGAATACTTCTTTAGAACAACATGTGGTTTCCACACTGGAGGAATTCTGCCAGTACCTCAGTCCAGACCTATTGATTCCACTCTAGTAATATTTTCCCACCTTGGAGTTAACTGAAAGGTCATACTTTTTAAATAAGGCGAAATGGTTCTGTGCCATGAATCACATCATAAATTCAAAACGACTTGGAAGACCACCACCAACCTAAAATATCTTAAATTAACCTGATTTGAATAACATGACTGGTACCAGCAATGGACACGAGCCATTTATAAAACATTTTGCTATAATGACTGAAATGTTTTAGCACAGTCTTAACATTAAAATGTGACTTTTCTCTCCCGCTCCATTAGTCTGATACAGATACTGTGCTAGTAGTGAGTGATTGCTACTCATGCACAAAAGTTTGTGTGCAAATAAACCAGTGACATACCTTTCTTAGTTTTTAAAATGAAGAGCTTAAGCAAAAAGAAATGTATAACTTTTACTACAATAGTGTAAGTGGGATTGAAATGCAAAACAACCCAAAGAGCTAGTGAGTTAGATACAAATATGAGGATGAGGTAGAAGTGGCCCAGACAATTGGCTGTACTTTTACTACCTCCGTTTCCTTTGTACTTCCAGAACACTTGTAGATTTCCTTGATGGCCTTGTGCTTTCCAGAAGTGGGGGTTTAATAATAGGAGTAATGAGAAGAGCATCCAACAGAGAACGATAGCTACTACTATCTGGAAGTCTAGTAAGTATTTAAAGAGAAAATAGAAGGAAATAGTTATCATAATGAAATAAATAGAAAGCTATTCATGCTAAAACTGAGAAGGAAAATAGCCTTTTTCATTTTCTAGTACCTCGATACTAACATTCATTGCTAGTCAACCAACCAACCAACCAACCAACCAATCAACCAACCAACCAACCAACGTATATTATCAAGTAAGGTTCCCTGATCTTGGATAAAAGAATCTGTACCTCAGATCTTACTAAAATGTTACTAAATCTGCAAAAGTCTCCTCATCCTGGTTTTTTTCATGACATATTAAGCACATCAATGAAGACATGTTCAATCTAAATATATCTTGGCAAAATATATTACTGTTTATGAGAATTATGAACTTGGAAATTATATATGATGACCTAATGATTTCATGAAATACTGCACTATTATTAAAATACATAAAGAAAGCTTTAGGTTCAATTTATACTGATTCAATCCAGGGCCTCTTCCAATTTCCCAGGTAAGCTACCAGCTGGTCCCTTGACGAAGCGCTAATTGGGACCAGCCCCGCTTAGCTTCAGAGACTGCCTAGCTAGAATTATATGCCAACAGGATAATTCGGATTTCAGCAAAATTGATATGTCAAAATTAGAAAGTTGGATCAAACAGTTATTTAAATTTCAAACACAGAGGCTGCTCAATTACCTTCTTATGAATTCATTTAAGTAATTAGAATGATTCCCCCTTACATCCTGAGTATAACTCCTTTACAAAATCTAACGACTTGAGTTTTTGTTCAGATCAATTCAAGATAAAATCAGAATTATTATAAAATCCTACTCACTGGGATAGAAGGGGTCAGATACATACATGTGTACATATATGTGACAGATTATATTAGTGGATACAATTTTCAGTGGCTGACACTGATGATGTTACCTAGCTTGGGTAATGAACTGTGTGAAAGAAAACAACCAAGTTCTGAGAGAACCAAGGACCCCACAATTTTCTCTACTGTAAATGTAATTAATTGCTCTATTCCAAAAAAAGGGGGCATAAATTGAGACTTAATCACATGATCCAACACTGAATTAACTGCAGTAAGAATGCTAGCACATATTTGTTATCTTAAAAGCACCCAGAACTACATCTCATATATTCCTGTGCTTCTGTGCTATTTGAGCTTCTCTGATATTCCTTTCCGACATAATGTCTACCTGGAACGCATCGATACAGCGGCAGATACAGCAACAGCAGCACTGCTCCTAACATGTGTTGTTGCCTTCACTGGAACTGAAGTGAAGGGCATTTGAGGACGTGTTAAAAAACTTCCCAATGGATTTTCCGATAGCAATGTCCTACGATACAAGGTTCAGTCCAAAGGAAAAAAACAAAACCAAATCTGAGATAATTGTAGATAAGCAGAGGTTATGCATACAATTTCAAAACTAATCTGAAAGATATAGCAGCTCACCAACGTACCAACTTTTTCAGAAACATTGATAAACTGTTCCTTAATAGAAACATCACCTTGAAATTTGCCTATGTTAGCAAGTGTATAAGTCAGAATCTTATATTCTTGTATCCTTCTACCCTTGACATTTTTGGAAAATTGCATTTAGGTTGCCTGAAGTCTTCCAAATGGCTAGCATTAGAAACATAGCTTTATAGACTTAGTTTTCCTAATTTATTCAGTGGGACCTATATCCAGTTAACGTGTAATAGACTTCGTTTTGCAGCCTGAACAGTATTGCTTTGAAGCGCATTATTAAGCACTGATCTTAATAATGTAATCTCTTTTTAATTAAAAAAGTGCATTGGATTATGATTGAAATACATGACCCAAATACCAGCCTGGAGAACTGGCTGGTGTTACATATGTACTAATTTAAAGCATCCTCATTAGGGTGTTGAAGCATCCGTTATTTATATACAGTAGGTGTATGATTGGAACTGCACTAAGCCAGTACGACAGTATAAGAAGTCTTCAACTCCATAGTGAATATAGATGTCTGTCTAAGTTTACACAATTCCCAGCTTAATTTCAGAAATCCTCTATAATAGGGGTGTCAAACTCAAGGCCTGCGGATGGGATCTGGCCTGCAGGGTGCTTAAATCTGGCCCACAGAGAAACAGAAAAGCACTAGCATGCAGCCCTCCTAAACTCCATTTTAGCTGGCAGAGGATTGCAGGAGGCTGTCCCAGCTGAAAACGGATATTGGGAGCCCGTTTTCACTGACAAAGTGCTCGGGCCCCCATCATGAGTGATGTCAAGCTGGCCACGCCCACCCTGACTATGCCCACCCCAGCTCCCCGAGACCAAACACAACCCTGATGGGGCCCTCAATGAAATAGAGTTTGACACCCCCGTTCTATATCATTTATCAGTTCAAATATTTAGAAAAATAACTGTCTTCTGGAAGCTAGCTGGAGAAGGAGGAAGAAATTGAGCAGAAAAACAGTGTAGGGAAAAAAGAAGATATGGGTTTGATCCTATCTATCCTTTCACTTTGATTCTGCCTACTGCCAGATGTCAGGCACCAACAGATTAGTCTGGATGCTTTGTGAAATTTTCATAGCAGAGAAATAAGGCTCTTCCATTCTTACTAAGGTGTGGGAGTTTGAATGAAGGGATTTTTTTTTATCATTCCAAAATGAAGAGCAACATCTAAGCTACATGTTTGCATTCTTAAATTGTAGCTTGAAGTCAGCACAAAGGTCTCGTCAAATATATATATATATTTTTAAAAAGCATGCAATCTCTGATCGCTTCCCCCGCATTTAACATAGCACATTTTATTTCAAATGATTTGGATCAATACTTAATAATGTTTAAAGAATAATTCACTTCAGGTGTTTAAAAATGTAGCTGACCTCTCACAGACAAAAAAAGTAGTAATGAAGAAAAACATATGAAGCTATGCTGAGCAACTCTCTCTTAAGAAATTCTGGGAGTAAATATAATTTCAAGATGCTGCCTTCCCAGGAAAAAATCAATATACTGTAGGGAAGGTTGCTACTGCTTAGTATTAAGTTTCAAAGAGATTTATTATATTGAGTTTGTTTGGTGAAGGACTTACTGCTACTGAAATAATAGTCATTCATATGTATTTTTTTTACTAATATTTTATCTTCACTGAAGATACTTGTATGTGAGCATGCCGATACTCCGGAAGGTAAATACTGTTTTTTAATCTCTGCCTTGGTAGAAAACTAAGATAGGCAGATAGCAGCTAGTCTTCTGCCTTATCATAACTGCTGCACACAACTGTAAGATAAACAAGGAGTCTCCAAGTCTTTTAAGCAAATCTTAATAATGCCAGGATATGAATACCTGCCAGTAAATGGAGGCTCCAATGTAGATGTCTCAGGCTGGGCTGACAAAGCAGATGCCATAGAAGCAAGAGAAAGTACTAGTGGTTCAAATGTCTGGGTTCCCACAGTACTCATCATGGGTAGATTCTTTTTATGATCAGCTTCATTTGTCCCCAGCTTTGGAACTGGGGCAATCAATTCAGAAGACCGAGTTTTTAGTCTTCTTGACCTTAATTAAGAGTTAGGTTTAAACAGACACTACATTAGCTGCTTAAAAAGTAATAGCTGGGGGAAAAAAATTTTTTTTAAAAAAAAGAACTAACAGAAACATTGAAGGACCTGTGATCTAGAACAGTCTTTCCAAACCTAAGCACTTGCTGGATTTTAAAGATTTCCACAATTCTCTCAGCAATGGTCCTATTACTGGGGATGCTAAAAATTAAACTCTACCAATATGGACGTCCTGCAGATTGGAGACATATGAATCTCACATTTAAGATTATCAAATGTTCTTTCTTTCTCTGAAAATAATCCACTTTCTAGGAAATAAAAGAGAATAGAATCATGGTTGTCTTTCCCTAAAACTGGATGTTACAATCCTTTCACAAAATTTGATAGGTAGGAGCACCATATCAAGGTCAGTTGACATGCCACAGAAAGGTCATCCAGATATTAGTAAAGAGGAACTAAACTATATGCTTCTAGGAGGGATACTTTTTTTTCATCGAAAATTAAATATACATGATATGCAACTTTTTTCTTTATACAGGAATTGATACTGATGAAATGGTAACTTATGGTTTTTAATAGCAATTTATGAATTTATCGAAGAAGTTTATATCTGTATGAAGGGGCTGACATCTTTATTTTATCTACAAAGGGCCACAAACATATGATCTCAAGGACTGTGTAATACTCTACCTACAGGTTTATTCTTTTTACTCAATAAACTGCTGCCATCTGGTGGAATAAAACACCTTTAGTAGGATGAATATTACAAGACATTACTAAACCTCTAGCAGCCGTTTAATGCTCCTTTCTACATTTTATCACACAAAATTCTCTTACAGGCACAGAAAAAATGCAGAGCAACCCCTCTGTGTAAGGGTAGCGTGCAACTTGTCTTGTGACAACAAATGTGTCACAAGAAAGAGGAAAAAAAGAGCAGTCAAACAAGATACTATTTAAAAGAAAATAATTTTATCTGTCTTTTCCTTGGTTTTCCAAGGTGACAAACGTTTTGCTATCTTAATAGCAGTTCTCGTGGATTTTAAAAATGGAATTCCTGCACTTAAGACAGGATTGGACTGGATAATTTATAAATCCCTTCCACAATATGCACTCTATGATTTTACAAACAGTATCCGATTTGATAGATTTGAAACTACCTAGCAATAACTGATGTTGTTTTAGACACAATAGCTACTTGGCTGTTAATACTCATAATACGGATGGTCACAGGTGGATGAGGTGCACACTTGGGTAAGGCTTCCAGAGGATTGTTGATAAAAAGTTCTCTGAAGAAAAAAATGTACAGTACAAATTTAGAATATAAACTTTTCTAACATTAGCTATGGACTTACAGTGCAATTAAAATTGATTTGACCTTAAATATTAATATTTGTATTGTATTTTGGTACAACATATTAGATAGATGGATAATGTATTTTGTATGTAATTCGATATCATATCAAGGAGTTACTTCAACAATTATTAAAATAAATTGCTCCTTTACAAAACTAGCTACATTTATCTTAAGCTTCCTCAAATATTTGGTCAACACTGAAGGTAATATGCTGGGTTATCTCCAGATTTACTCATTATTAAAAAGGTAAACATTTGAATCAACACAAATCATATTGATGGCATCCATTCAAGGATTTTTTGGCAATACCAAAAGGAGTTTGCCTTCTTCCAAGGTAATTTTTTAATTTCCTAGTTTAGCAGAAAATCTTTAAATTCCCATGTGGTCCAAGTACTACTAAAGCCGACTCTACTAAATTTTCGAACTAAGTCAAGATTGGGAAGGCACTGACTCCATATTTAGATTACCTTTACTGGAACAAATGAAAATTAAGTTATGCCTACCAAAGTACCACTGATTTAAAAGACTAATCTTATGTTTGATTCCACGACTGACATTTCATTTTCTAACTATTGTATATATCTCTTTTAGAAGTGATGGAACTCCTATCGATGTTCATATACAAATTCAGAATAATACAATATTCCCTTCAGATTTTTGATTATTATTATTATGGGATAATATTTCCTAATAGTTTATGGAATTCTACCAATAAAACTGTTCTTCAAATATAGGCAATACATCATGTAATAGAAAAACAAGGTGAATGAAGAACATATTATAATATATATTGAAGAAACCATGAAGTATTTACCTCCTGAGAGATGGAGCAGAGAGGTTAGGTCCCGACAGTGTGGTAGAAAAAATGGTAGTAAGAGCTGGCTCTATGGTCACAGAACTAGTTGAATTTGCTTCTGCCCTGTTTCATGGAAATTTGTTTCCATTCCATCCCAAATCAGAGAATAAGTCATATGTTCAAAACAAATTTTTCAAAATCTACACCTACACATTTGTTTGAGTTGAGAGTGAAACACTTGATTAGTATCCATGCTAATTTTGAAGTTTGCTGCATTTTATAGAGTTCCTACCAATCTTTTAAAACAGTCAAAACTGAATAGATACATACAATTCAGATCAGTGTGAGCAATTCAATAATTAATTTGATAAAGTAACACAATCCTCATGATGCCCAGCTTTATTTTACATTTGAATGTTCTGAAGACATTCTCAAAATACTGGAAGTTTCAATAAAAATGCAGCATGCAAACCTAATCATATTTAGAACAGAAATTGTTTCATCTAACAGAATCTGAAAAAAAGCACATGTCATGTCACTTTGACACATTAGTACTACTTTGTGCCTCCAGTTTAACCTCACAATAGAGAAGTATCAATAACAATCTATTTTTTTTCTTAACAACTGAGATCACAATGTGTTTCTCTTGGTCTTCTTTACCACTTAGCAACTTTCCATGCAATAAGCACAAAATATATGCAGAGTTATTGTGTGGAGCGGTGCAGTGGCCTAGAGGTGGAGCTCTCGCCTCACAATCAGGAGGCTGTGAGTTCGCTCCTAAGTGGAGGCAGATATTTCTCTCTCTGGGCACACTGAGAATATATCTGCTGAACAAAACTCCGCATTGGCGACAGGAAGGGTATCCAGCCAGTAAACTTTCTGCTAGCTCCATTCAGTTGCCCAGACGCCACCCCACAAGGGATTATGGGGTCGTTAAAAGATGATGATGATATGAAGAGTTATTGTGTGTGTACATGCCATCTATGCAAAAAAGAATCAACTGTAGCTTTTCCCACAGCCTGGAATTTAATAATTGGTAGTAAAGTGATGATAATGGTAGTAAAGTGATAAACACAATGCTTGGACTCCCAACTGTGATAATTAATCAAGAATACCTGTGACTTCTTGAGATATTATTAATGGTTATATTACTACATAGTGCAGATGAGTTTTCATTACAAAATTTAGTCATGAGTGTGACCTGTGAACTGATGGAATCACAAAAGAGCAGCCAACCTTTGTGGTTGTTGTTGTGGTGGTGATGGTGGTGGTGCTGATTGTTGAAATTCTTCAGGTATTTCACAGATCTGAGTAGCTTCAGAATGGGAGTGCTGAGTTTCTAATCCATTCATTAGATCTCTAGATATGATTTATATGTAATAATAATACAGAGTGCTTGTGTTTCAAGTCTAGCTACTGCAGAAAATATAACTTTTGACAGAATAAAAACAACAATAGTAGGGCAATCAATCACATTACAGATTATTTAAAAAAAATCTTAGCTTTAAAGAAAAACAAAATTAATGTGTGTTCTGCCCTACAAAGCAAGAATATGCAATCTCTCTCTCTCTCTCTCTCTCTCTCTCTCTCTCTCTCTCTCTCTCTGTGTGTGTGTGTGTGTGTGTGTCCCATAGATTATTGCAGCAGCCATCAGTAGGGAAAGTTATATCCATCTGTATATGATTCCTGGCAAAATAGCTTTAGAATAACTGAACCTGGTAAACAGGGGTAAAGCACAGTCAAATATTATCATAAAAAAGAAAGAAAACAATGGTAGAAGCAATAGCAATAGCAATAGCGCTTAGACTTATATATCACTTCATAATGCTTTACAGCCCTCTCTAAGCGGTTTACAGAGTCAGCATATTTCCTCCAACAATCTGGCTCATCATTTTACCAACTTTGGAAGGATGGAAGGCTGAGTCAACCTTCAGGCTCAAACTCCTGGCAGTGGGCAGAATCAGCCTGCAATACTGCATTCTAACCACTGCACCAAAATGGCACCTGGGACATAGCAATGGTTTGGGACATAAAGATCTAGGGGAATTAGATTACAGAAAGACTTAGGGCATTGGAGATTAAAAACAAAAATAGTGATTCAATTAAAAGTGCTTGCGTTAAAATTGATAATCGCATATGGGGAGAGGCAGGGGATCTCTGAGAAGGGATTGACTCTGAACAATATCCGATGGCTCTTTATAATGCTCATGTGTTACAGCAAAAAAACAAACATTCAGATTTCATTGTGGCAGGAAAATGAATAAATATATAGGCCTAGTCAAAATTCATATTTTAAAAAATGGAAACAACCGAATGGCTCTCCAGTCTTTCAAATGGTAATGCAGTGATATCAAGAATATGTTTAATTCAGTGATGGATCCTTCAGGCCCTAATGAAATTAGGTATTGAACTCTAAAACTATGTTGTGTAGGATCAAAATCAATACCTTTTCCCAGACTGAGAAACAGTAGAAGGTACATGGCCAGGGCTGAATCAATGCCTCCTGTTTTAATCACATATTTGTGTGTGTGTGTGGGGGGGGGGAATGGAAGGATAAAGTCACTGGATGTAACACCCTATAAATAATACATTAATCAAAACTTTTTTTCCTCAGTAAAAATCATCCAGACGATCACTTGAAAAGGCTACAAAACCTTCTGTGAAGTTAAGGGTTTTTTATCAGGGCAACCTGGTCTACCCAAATATGGGACGGAGAATACTGCCTCTGCTTTCGCCTTTTAGGCGAATTGATAATTGAGCCTTCACAGGCAGTCGCTTTCACAACAAACTATTTTTGTGATGTTTATGTTTTATCAACAAAGAAATAAAGAGAGACTAGTATAGATCCATTTCAAGCTATTTAGCTCTCATCAGCTAGCCATACCCTTCTGGGATTCAAACCAGGGCTACTTGTATATTAGGTAGATGTATTAACCTCTAAGCCACGGGCTCTCCTCACTTTGTCGGCTATACCAGGGGAAATATTAAGTGTTTTTTTTAACTTCTGTGAAGTTCAATATAGTCCAAAATCTAAGGTGGTGAAGCTAATACAAATTCCCATAAAAGCAAATGTTGATTCGAATTACCAAAAATGAATTAGGACCCTTCTAAGACCAATGGAGGGTAGATTTTAAAGCTTTTTGCTGTACCATTAAAATATATCTTAGATCTTTTAAAGAATCCAGCCTGGGAACCATCCAGCAAAAGATTAATCAGTTTAGCTCTAGAAAGTATTTATGGTAGCGGTCACACAGTTGGCTATCACCTCCACTGGCTCAAAAAATAAAACCCTAGGTTTAGGCCTAGCTCAATTAGTGGCAAGATTGGATTGATCTCTCCTAGCTGTGAAGAACTGAAAACTCATATCTAGGTATTTAAATGCCTTTGTTTGTTCAACGATGGTACTATTTATCTACCAATGAGAAGCATAACTGGCAGGGCTTTTGATGAATATCACTATTTTTGCTTAAGAAATATTGAAGGCAAGTTGGTAACTAGATTACTTCAAGCCAGAAGATTTGATTGCAAGGAGGAAGAACTGCAATGGTAGAGGGGAAAAAGAGTTTGTGCTATGAGGAAAAGCCATATAATGACAAAAGGCAGATTGACCTAAAACAGCACTAGGGAAAGAAACAGGAACGTAAAATACTGAGAAATAGGTGACAAACGTGGGAATTATTACAGGAAAAAAATATGTTTATTAAACAGTATTTTCCCATTTTTTGCAAAAACAATGTTTTTTTTCTGAGCAAAGAAAAACCTAACAAGGACTGATTTGCATAATGTTTTCCTGACTCTCCAAAGCTACAAAAATGAAAGACAACTACCAGGAGCATAACTGAAATTATCTGACATTTTTTTCCTGGTAAATATTCTGCTAATTATTGCCAGAGATCAAACGTTCTATTACAATAATGGCAGTGTAGCATATGGCAAACAAAGGAGAATTCTGTACTTCTGCACATTTTTTGTACAAATTCCATTCATTCCAAATGCTGAATGGAAGGCATTTTTATCAATTTCAGTTCCCAGAATTCAATCATGCTATCCTGGAACTCTGAGAACTGTAGTTCCAAAACATCTGGAAAGCACCATATCGGTAAAGACAGATGTTGAGCCATTCCCACTAAGCTGTAATAAACCAATCTGGCATTGTTGGTCAGACAATCCTGAGTTAGAACTAAAAATAATCCTGAATATAACATTGTATTATATTATTCAGAGTAGAAACCATGCCACATGTAATCCTTAAGGTGGTTTGCAACTCTAAAAGTGTGTGTGTGTGGGGGCCTGAATTAGCCTGATTTAAAGGAGAGTGCAGGAAAAAAAATCATAGATTACTCTGAAAATTAATTTGTACAGCCTATTTGTTGCCTTCTGTTAACATGGCTCAAGTGCAAGATTAAACATTAAAAAAACCAGCATAAATAACAGCTTAAAGCCTCAAAATAATGATAGCAGAATAACTAAGTACCCATTGAAAAACATTTCCATATTGGAGTGTGCAGCCTGATACTAGTCCTTGGGATAAAAAATGGCCTAGTCCAGTGAAGGCAAACCTATGGCACGTGTGCCAGAGGTGGCACACAGTGCCCTCTCTGTGGGCACGCAAGCCGTCACGCCAGCTCAGCCACACATGCGCGTGCGCCTCCCACCGGCAAGCTGGTCTTCGGGTCTCTGCTGTACATGTGTGTGGGTGGGGTGCGTGCGGGGCCCTGTGCACACATGTGCAGGTGTATGAGGGGGGCCACACACATGCGGAGTGTGTCCGGGGTGGCCACAGGTGCATGCACAGGGGCATGTGTGGGGCCGCATACACATGTGGGGGGCGCACGTGCATTGCTTTTTGGGGGTTCAGGAGCATGCGTGTGCATTTGCGCACATGTGCTTTGGGCACTTGGTCCGGAAAAGGTTAGCCATCACTGGCCTAGTCCTTGGAAAATATACAACTAATTTCTCTCCTTCACTTTTGCCCAGAATACAGTAGTTACTGAAAGGGAAAGAGGAAAAAGAGAGACCCATCCTCTGAAGCCTTCACAGAGTACTGTGCAACCTAAATCTTTAAAAATTACTCATGCACAAAAGTTTATCCATCATTTGGAATACATCTTGGGCCTGGGGAAAGAAATACTGGAAAGAAAAAATGGTCTATCATGACATAAATTTGGGAAATTTGATAATTTCCAGATCTGCCATGAATTCCATCTTCAATCCCACTAAATAGTTAGCTGAAATGTTAACCTGGAAAACAGTGCCTAGAAATCAATGATGAAATGTTCCTAAATATTTCCCATGAATACCTGCAGAATCCCTAATATGTTTTCTTATCAGGAGCTCCTAATAACTAATATTTCAATTATGGCAGAAAACCAGAGATTCTTCAATTATGTAGGGTTCATCCCAAAGTGTACGATAATATAACAACACATTTTCAAGTGTTCCATGTGCATTAGGACATTCCTTTACACTACTCCTGAAAGTCAGTATTATGACTCCTATAATGCAGATGGGAAGATCTATGTAAAACTATACAGTCAATTAAGAGAGAAGAGAGATACCAACTAGGACAGAGGTGTCAAACTGGTGGCCTGCAGGCCAGATACGTCATGCGCAGGCCACGCCCACCCAGTTCCGCAAAGGGGTAAAATGTCACGAAATGTCACATGACAGCAATGTGACACGGTGAGTTTGATATCTGTGAACTAGAAGCTTTTTAATACTAGAACTTACTTTGTAACATAATGTAATTGACTCACTTTGCTTTTGACCCAATGCTACTGTACGACACTAAAGCTAAGGTTGGGTAAAGATACAGGTTTAATTATATGCAGCCTATAAATAAACACATAACTACAGAAATGTACTCTTAGCATGAGTAAAAATCTGAAATCTGGAATGCGTTGTAGCAAAAAACACCACAATTGTTAAATAGATGCCACAACAGCATTTACACAAGTTTCACAAACAGGTGGGATAATTAGGATACAGACCAAGGTGTCACATTGCATTATTTTGTGAACTCACTGAAGACTGATCTGGTGCACATGCATTGTAAAGAGAAGTGATGTTTTATTACACTTGTAAGCTTAGCAATTCCACGAGTTAAAGAATGAAGCATCAGTTAACTAATTTACTCTCTTGTAAAAGGTAAAATACAGACTTTAAGAAGAAGGTATCAGGCATTGGTGTTCTGAATTCAACCATATGATGAGCACCAAATACAGTCTGCCACTATATTTGATAATTTTTGTGCACATGTGCTATTAATGTCAAAGAATTAAGTTACCTTAGATCTCCGTTCTCTGTTTGACTTTCCCTAGAGTGTTAACAAATAGAAAGTGACAACTGCTATCATAAAAGACAAAATAAACATCAGAAGAAAATTCTATGTAGAATATGTTCATGTTTGGGGCATTTCCCCCCAAAGCTTATATCCGAGTTTGTTACACACAAGAATGTAAACAAATAATTTGTCCTTGTAGTTCTTGTAAGTGTGACGGGAGCTCTCTTTAAATGTTAAAAAATAAAAACGAACTGAGGAAATGCATCATTTCTTTAGGTTCACTGTCCAGCAGCCCCTTCTTTTCCCAGTAATGTTTCGGACTAAATTTATGTATGGTACCTACATGTGCACACTGTGAAAGAATATAAAGAAAAAATAGAAAGTAAATTAAATGCGGTATTTATTCAGTAGTTTCGAGCCCCACGTAGCATAATTTAGATGAGTATGCATCTGCTATAATACATTATATTACAAATTAATATGCATGATCAAAAATTGATAAGAAGCTCCAAACAATCCACTTCATAATAAATAAAACCTATATTCATTTATGTCATACTATTTTCTTTTGCTGTTTTACATGGCTTCTTCTACAATGTAATTTTTACTTTGATCTGTGTCCAGAAGACTTCAGATGCTTTCAGAACGTTTTTCTCAAGTAGAACATGAGCTGTATAACGCAACTATTGCTAAGACCCATTAACTAACATAAAAAACAACAACTCTCTTCTTCCATTACCTCTTTGAAAACATTTACATTCTGCCATTAAATATATCCAACACAAAAAACAAACATTGATTTTACTGAATCGAACCAGAGCTGTATCGGAAATACACAATGATGCTTAAATAGTTTATTATGCATGTTTTCCAACTCAACTTTCTCCGTATCTTAGCACATAGCACCTTTTTCAGATAAGAGCCAGGTTCCCTGCCAGAAAAGGCACCCTATTTGTTCAAGTCATTATGAATTTTCTATGCCACCTGTTATCTGCATGGTGGTTTTATTTACAGAGATGCTGGCTTTGTAGAAGCAGAGCAGGTTCATCCCATTGTTAATACACAAATAGGGGATTTTTTTAAAGAAAAAAAGATAGATAAAAGGCTAGACTTTCTCAAAGCTGGGTTTGTTCGTTCATTTCTTTCTTTGCAAAGCATTTGGAAGAGGAGTAAAAGGACTCATTCAAATTTTAGGACTTGGCGAATCATTGGACGTTAAGGACACGTGCTGAAACGCCATGGTGCCAGTCACGTAATTTTGTGTATCTAGGGCCTATGATGTGGAGGGGGATCTTTTCCCTGCAGAGAGAAGTGACAGAAGAAGACATAAGAGGAAGGAAGTCTGCATCTCAATCCATTATACACAACAAACCAAAAGCATGCAGAATTCAGAATCAGAATTAGTCATCCGAGTTTACACTAATTGTCCTTGCACTTCGGTATACAAACTTGTCGACATTTATGAGTAAAGCCGATTTCTATTGCTTCTTGTTGTGAATTGACACTTTAGTCAAGCAGCCAATATCTGCTGACTTTCAAAGGCCAGAATAGAAGCTGCTATTCCTTCCATTATTAATAAACTATGCAAGGTAAAGGTAAAGGTAAAGATAAAGGTAAAGGTTTCCCTCGCATATAGGTGCTACTCGTTCCTGACTTAGAGGGCCTTGCTTATCTCCGTTTCAAAATCGAAGAGCCAGTGGTGTCTGAAGACGTCTCTGTGGTCATGTGTCCGACATGACTAAATGCCAAAGGTGCACGGAACGCTGTTACCTTCCCACCAAAGGTGGTCCCTATTTTTCTACTTGCATGTTTTACGTGCTTTTGAACTGCTGGGTTGGCAGAAGCTGGGACAAGTAACGGGAGCTCATCCTGTTACGCAGCACTAGGGATTCGAACCAGTGAACTGCCGACTTTTCGATCGACAAGCTCAGCGTCTTAGCCACTGAGCCTAAGTTGAGGTAAGTTGGGTAAAATTAATGAGGTTAGTTTATCTTGATGCAGAACCCAACGTTTTACTGGGAAAAAAAAGTGAGTGCTATTACTAATATTGCCAATAAATATTGGGGCTAGAACAATTGTGTATAATTGCAGTTAAAAATGCAGAAGCAAAATACTACACAGTGCACACATCCCAAGCACTTATCTTACAGAACTGCTCAAATGCTAACTAGCAATAATTGAAGAAACTTATTTTGATTGACAGAACTTCTATAGAATACAGGTTTATAACTCTGAACAGCACTTAAGATTTAATGCCTATTAATCAAGACCAAACTGCCTCTTCCCATATGATCCTACATTTTCTCTATGGTCATCATCAGAAGTTCTGCTCCACATGTTGTGGTGTGATACATCGCTACCTAGCAATAGCAAAACAATCTACCCAGAAAAGACATTTAGAACTCTGTTGTCTTTCTGGAAGCAAACAAAACATTTATATTTTAAATATTTATATTTTATGTTTTTCTGAAGCTTTGTGATTCTTCTATTATGCATAGATTGTACATTTAATTATTGTTTTGGTTTTTGAATATTGTGATCAGTGTAAATTACATTAGGAAAACTTGGTAATGATGAGCAGAGTACAGTTTTTAATAATAAAATATTCTAAAAGAAAATAGTAAAACAAGGCTACAGACTCTTCTTTTAAATACTTCCATGTTGTAGTGAATAGGATTATTCCCAGCTCAAGACAGATACAAGACACAGTAAAATTTCAAATATTCACAAGCTAAAGGAATCAGGACACGTTAGGAATTGCAGTAGCCTTCCTCACTGATAATATCACTTTTTAATAAAGATGCAGTAACATTGCAGTTCTTATTTGTTTTGTCATAAAAACTTATTTTAAAATTCAAAATTGGTCTATATGTCAGTAGTGAAACATATAATTTTAAATCTACTTAATATAAAAGATAAAACTTCTAAAACATCTAAAAAAGATTAAACAATTGCCTCTAAACGTCTGATTACTGTTTCTATTTTTTTTAAAAAGTATCTCCTTTTTCACATTTCCCTTTCTACTGCTGACACCATTCCATTTTTATGTAAGTATTATTAATAACTTTAGATGTCTACATAAATATTCAATTTTATGCAAATTCATTAAAAAAGCAATTTTAAATGGGCAATTTTAGGCCTATCCCAATTTATTAAAAAAAACATGCCATACAAACAAAAATCAGAACTTTAAAATGTCCAGAGTTTATGGAAAAACGAAAGAATCTTGTGACATTTTAAAGACTTTTTTCAATACATCAAAGCAAAACCATGCAAATATATCTTTTTTTAAAAAAATAAAATCAAATCATTATCTTACTTTGCCTTCTTTAGATTGTCGGATTCCGGCTCTTTCACTGCAACAAAATAAACCATTCATTCAGTTTCCATGAAGTTGCTATTTCTTCACTGATCCATGAAACTTTTATCCTTAATTTATGACAAAACTAATATCTAAACATCCTATTGTTACAAATGTCTTATGGTGTTCTAAAACAGTGATGGTGAACTTATGACACATGCCCAGTGGTGGGATTCAAATAATTTAACAACCGGTTATCTGTCCTAATGACTAGCTGGGTGGGAGTGGCCAGAAGGTGTGACAGGTAGCACTTGGCCTCCTGCACCCTCCCTGGGAGCAAAAACAGGACGCACCATCCCCCGCGCCCCATTTTGGGCCTAGGCCTCCCTGAAGCCTCCTGAGAGTGAAAATGGGCCGCGGGAGGACGCCACAGCCCCCACCCCGTTCTGGGCTTAGGAGGCCTTCCTCCACTTACCTGGGAGCCAAAATGGGGCGGGTGGGGACTCCTGGAAGGGGTGGGATGGAGCCCGCCAGCAATTTAACTACTGGTTCGCCTCAACCAGCCAGAACTGGCTGAATCCCACCACTGCACATGCCATGTCATTTTTGGTGGCACATCTAGAGGTGTTATGAGAATGCGGTGTCCTATCATGTGATCTCTGGAGCCTCTGGAAGTCACACAAGAGGGCCTTCTTCTCACGTTGCCTCTGGAGCCATCAAAAACCATGCAAGAATAGGGCGTGTTTTCCCGCTCTTTTCGAAGACACAGATCATTCTCCGAAGTTTCCAAGCCTCATGTGACCCAGAACTGCCACGGGTAGGAATTTTTTTCTGAGACACAAACTGAAACGTATTTGCAATTTATGTATTCATTTATTTATTTTATGTGCCACCCATCTGACTATCTAAAGCGAATCTTTGTTATGAATTGTTTCTCTTTTGTCTGTGTGTATGTGACACACCAGCAGGATCAAATTGGGCATTTTCCGAATTTTTGGTACATTGATAACATCACTGAGAATCATCATTGCTCTAAAAGATGCATATGTAGCCCACCCTGCCAGCAGTTTAAATTGCATTTAAAAATTCTGTAAATTTTTATAATTTTGGATTTTATGGATTTTATAACCCATCTGGGTTTATTACATGCAGCAAATCACTTGCTCCAATGTATTGCAAAGTGCTTTTGAGAGGTTTCCCATTTTCAAAGCATCTGCTCTTTAGTTCGTGAAAAGACCTCAAGTTCAAAAACTACCTGGGTCACAGAATTAATTTCTCACATATTTATTTTTGTTTTGTTCTTTACCATTCAACTTTAGCCAAATATATAATGCTGCTATATTTTGTTACTAATTCCTTTTAATTAAAAAGTAAAAAATATCACTTTTAGATGATTATAGTTATACAGCATTAATGATAAAGGGTAAGAATATAGATGATCTCTTTTTTCTTTGGAGGGTTCACAAAGCTGAACTACTACTCTTCATGCATTTCCTTTAAAAACATTAATCATGTGGAAATAGGCTGAATTAAATATTAAAGTGAGAAAAATTAGAAACTGAAGAAATGGACAGATTTGTCTAACCCTGGCAAAAAGTCGATCTATATATTTTATATAATTTTTACTGCAAAAAAACCCTCAAGGAACAAGGCGTAAATATATAGATATACAATATATGTATGACCCTTGAGTTCTTTATTATTGTAATTCTGTAGTTGTATATTGCAGTCCTAGGTGCTCTTGAGCTTGGTTATTTGCTTGCAGATGTTTCATTACCCAACTAGATAACATCATGATGTTGTTACTGTGGGACTAGACCAGGGGTCTGCAACCCGCAGCTCTGGAGCCACATGTGGCTCTTTCATCCCTCTGCTGTGGCTCCCTGTTGCTCAAAATATGAATCACAACCACCAATGTGTGCTTAACGCATTGTAAGCCACCCTGAGTCTCCGGAGAAGGGCGGCATATAAATCAAATTTTAAAAAAAAATGTGTGACACCCACCGGCATGTGATTTATTGAGCTTTTCAACCCATCTCCCCCCCCCCGGAGTTCAAAATGTTTTTGTTGCATGGAGAAATAAAAATTTGTTATCTCTGTAGCAGTTCATTGATGTCATAAATGCAACACACTATCATTTTTTTATACATAGCATAAAGGTAAAAAAAAAAATGCAGTGTTTTCATTTTAGATGTCAAAAGGGTTTTGTGGCTCCCGGTGTTTTCTTTTCTGTGTGCAATGGGTCCAAATGGCTCTTTGAGTGTTTAACCCCTGGACTAGACCAAAGCCACCATACCTAAACATGGTGAAAGCATGTAATCAGGGTGGACAAAAGTCAGGAAAAGCTCCCTCAGAAAAGGGAACCAAGTCATTAAAGGAACAAAAGGACAAAAATTGGGTCCAAGCACATGGGAATCCCCTCCCCAAGTCTCATCAACAAAGGACTTGGGTCTGCATGGGGAGTCCCTCCCCATCAGCTTTGGGGGATAAAAAGAGGTCCTGAAACCTGTGCAGCCTTTTTGAGTTGTTTTGAGATCCCAAAATGTGGCGGCTTCCAACCCTCTCTCTAGTAGTACCTGTCAGCCTCATAGTGGATGCTGGGTAAGTATGGATGAGAGGGAGAATGTGTAAGAACAAAAATATATCAGTAAGAGTTTGCTGTTATCTTAAATTTACTGGGTGTCTATGTATTTTAAAGAACCATTTGTGCCTCAGTGTTCAGTTGATTTGGGATTGAGTGTGGCAGTTTTCTAGGGCTGTGAGTGAATGACCAGAAGCTGAACTTGAGAGCACACTTGTGTAACATTACTTAGTTGGGTAATGAAACATCTGCAAGCAAACAACCAAGTTAAAAGAGCACCAAGGACTTACACAGTTCAACCCTGAGCAATAGATATTCTCTTCTGTTAAATCAGGAGTGTCAAACAAAGGCCAGAGGGTGGGATCCGGCCCATGAGGTGCTTAGATCTGGCCCGCAGGGCTGCCCTGGAAACAGCAAAGGACCGACCCACAGTGCCTCTGCCAGTGAAAATGGAGCTGGGGAGGGCCGCCCATAGCCCTCCTGAGCTCTGTTTTTACTGACAGAAGTTTGCTAGAGGCCGCCGCAGCCAAAAACGGAGCCACGGAGTCCATTTTCATTGGCAGAGTGCTCGGACCACAAGCGTCATGAGTGACATGAGTGATGTTGAGCAGGCCACTCACACCTTGGCCACCCCCACCCCACCCCAGCCCCCTGAGTTCAAACACAGCCCTGATGCAGCCCTCAATGAAATCAAGTTTGACACCCCTGTGTTAGATACTTACTACGTTCGGTGCCTGTGATCTGTTGAAGGATACGGAAAGAACGTGACTGAGTAGTTCCGGTCCTTGGGTGCCAGTCCTCAGTATCTTCAATCAGTCTTTTCTTGCTGTTGTTGCTATGAACCGGTGGATGGAAAAATTCTGTATTTCTGTACACAATGTGTTTCCGTGGTGGACTAATACAATGAATAAGAACAATAAAACCATAAGTGAAAGACAACTGAATGACACTGACTTTTCAGTTACATAGATCAAGGCCAAGATGCTAATGATATGTATTTAATATAAATCTTGCTGGAGTAAATTTTTGCTTCCTTCAAGTTAGGTTAAAACATTAAAGTGCATGGCACCCAGGTTTCAACTGTTCCTTTTTTAAGAAACATAAGCTGCAATCAAATATCTACATCAGAACTTGCATGAACAGAAGCTAAATAATTCATAGAATCCTTCCATTTAATTCAGTTAACATTTCTTAATAAGATAGCACAAAGCTGTATCTCCTTGTATTGGGTTCTAGGAAATACTACATCTTCCAGGAAAAAATACTGTACAGAAATGTTCTTGTGCTTTTTTTCTCCCCTGTTATACCTGTTCTAAAATATAGTTTACTATATTAATTTAATGATAAATGTAAAAAATATTATGAAGTCGATCAAGTGTTAAAGATAGCTAACTTGCAATGTTGATCCCGGCTGAGATTCTATGATCCTACATATATGGACACCCTCTTTGGTAGATAAAGAATGAATATGGGGGAGGGGGAGAAATTTCTTAAATACAAAACAATTGGTAAGATTTTGTCTTATAGCAAGATAACAAAAAAGACAGATGAAGGAAGGAAGGAAGGAAGGAAGGAAGGAAGGAAGGAAGGAAGGAAGTCGTATTTCTACTATTTAGTAAAGAAGAAGAAGGAGAGCAAGGCAATAGTTAAATTGGTAGAAAAGATAACCTAAGTAGAATTTGGAATGGTACAAAAATTAGTTATGGATCTGCAGAATCATTTCAGACAAACTGTAAATTATTACAACTTGCTCCCTCTCCCCACACCCACCCTGTTCAAAAATACAGGCACATAATATTGAACTTCAAAAAGACACGATTTTGGCTATTACCGTTTAGGTGGGTTTTTCCTTTTATCGTATTGGAAAGAGCAAGGGAACAGAATACAAAGACAGTCCAGTGTAAGGAGGAGAAAGAAAACAGAAAGACAAAAGAATTATAAGTATTAAGTTTAACTGCTGGTACTATTAACAAGTCACCAAATAAAATAATTTAATAATAATTTTATTTTTCCCAAGGAAGAAATTGTATTGGCTTACTTGAGCCTCATTTTACACTCAATTTCTCACTTAAGCTTATCATTATTATGCATATTAATCATATGCACATAGCCAATTACTACTGAAGCAAAAAAAAAAAAACCCCACCCTGTTTGAAACTACTAGGCATATTGATATTTTGTTCTTCCAAATGTATTTATAATTGTTTTTGAATAAGCAAAGGCTCTCCACTATAAACTACCCTCCACCTGGGCAACGTCATGGACATCATCAGCTCAACTTTACTGAGAAGGTAGGCTACTCATTGCAACCCACACTGTGACTGGTCCTTTTTTAACAATACCTGAACAGGATTATAAAAAGGTAAAGGTAAAGGTTCCCCTCACACATATGTGCTAGTTGTTCCTGACTCTAGGGGGCGGTTCTCATCTCCGTTTCAAAGCTGAAGAGCCAGTACTGTCCGAAGACATCTCCGTGGTCATATGGCCAGCATGACTAAATGCCGAAGGTGCACGGAACACTGTTACCTTCCCACCAAAGGTGGTCCCTATTTTTCTACTTGCATTTTTTAAGTGCTTTCGAACTGCTAGGTTGGCAGAAGCTAGGACAAGTAACGGAGGATCACTCCATTTTGCAGCGCTAGGGATTCGAACTGCCGAACTGCCGACCTTTCTGATCGACAAGCTCAGAGTCTTAGCCACTGAGCCATTGCGTCCCTTTGAACAGGATTATAGAATCTCATATAAGAAGATCACAAAGGCCATCTAAAAATCCAGGTGACTTTTCCATCTCTGCTTAACAATTTCTATCACACAGAAACTCATCATGTTCACTCTGGAGCACCTCTTGCCATTCAGATCTTTCTTCTGATGTTTAGTATTAAACTCCTTCCTAAACTTTCTGATACTGTATTTCTCTTTTTTATGAGCGAATTCAGTAATTCAGCATATAAATTTACTTCTCTTTGTCATGTTTTCATCATACACTAAAAAATAAAAGTAATTACAGTGGTACCTTGGTACTCAGCTGCTTTGAAACTCATTGAATTTAGTACTCAACACATTTTGATACGAAAGTTTTGTCCCAGTACTCATTCTCTGCTTGATACTCAATGCACAAGCTATAACTGCCTTTTGACTCACTACATTATTCCTTATGAGAAAAATTTGTTTGGTACTCATCATTTTTGATACTCATCACACCTCCTGGAACCAATTAACGATGAGTAACAAGGTACCCCTGTACTGAATATAGATTAAAATTATCTACTGTATATAAAATACTGGACAGAAAGAAGGGGAAAGGATATACTTTTCAGATTCAACTTTCCCCAATGTAGTATCTTTCTCAATTCTACTAATGTACTACCGTGTTTCCCTGAAAATAAGACCGGGTCTTATATTAATTTTTGCTCCAAAAGACGCATTAGAGCTTATTTTCCAGTTAGGTCTCATTTTCAGGGAAATACCGTACTAAATGCATCCGCCTGGCTGACAAACTTAATTAGGACTTATTTTTGGGGTAGGGCTTATATTACGAGCATCCTGAAAAATCATGCTAGGACTTATTTTCTGGTTGGGTCTTATTTTCAGGGGAAACACAGTACAATGCCAACAATTCTGATCATTCCTAGGTCATAGAATACACCCCAAAGAGGAATGATGGCCACTGTAGTTCAACACTTCTGGAGAACAGCAATTGGAGAAAGTTAATTTACTGCATACTTTATTTCCATTCTTTCAACAAAACAAAAAGTATTATAACAAAGCCTATTACCAAACTTAGAGGAAATGGAAGTTAATTCAAAATGGCTACCTACAGAATACAGCAATTATTTTATATAAACTGTAGCTCAAACATTAAGAGAGTGATTAGTAAAGTACTTACACCTCATCAGGGTTACTGAAGGAATGAGGGACAGAAAAGAGACAAACAATGGACACGATTCCAGGATGTTCAAGTACAGATAAGGAATAACATAGAAAATGGGAGCAAAAAAAGAGTTAATGAAAGTTAATTGTAATATTAAAGACAGATATGAAAAAAGTGTTTCATTTAATCATAAATATTAAGTAAAGCTAAAGTTTCCAATTGGTTTTTCTAGAATAATTTCTTGCTGACTTTTACCAACAGCTACCACAACATGCCACAAGATGGCGGCACAAGCTAAGGTAAAGTCATGGTAAATTTATTTCTTCCCTAAATCAAGGGGAGAATAGGGAAGAGGCAAGAAAGAGGCTGAAAAATCCTTGAATTAAATTTCATTCCAATAAATGTTTTCATTTTTACTGCATTTAGCAACATTTGACTATCTTGATAGAAAAAAAAGTCATCCATTTTAATGTCTAATTGCAGACATTAAAAAGAGACTCGCTGTTATTATCTCTTACTGTTTGCCAGTTACTCATGACAAAATTTAATATTGTAAATAAAACCACACACCAGTGAAAATGCAAACAATATATGTTGCTTTACTTCAAAAGCCAAGACTCTGTTTTGCAGAATTCTAATTCTGGGACAGCCACACATGCCAATTATTTAAAGCACAACTCCATTCTAGTGAAAGAAATACTAACTTTGACACTGTTGTAACCTGTAAAGGGGGTGAAAAAAAGTCAATATGTTTATTGTGGCAACTTCCCTACTGTCCTAATTTATCATACCCAAAACATGTAAGTTTAAGTGTTTTCACACATTTCAAACCAATATAAATAATCTATTTCATCCTGTGATTAGCCCAAGGGATCCGTCTAATGCAAAAAATAATAATTTTCATGCGTGAAGTAAGAAAGCAATTCAAAGCAAAAACACATGCAGACACTTAAAGAGCAAACTGCTAGTCCAGTGTTTCTGACCCTTAGCAACTTTTAAGATATGTTGATTGTTACCTTCCCAGAATTCCCCAGTCAGCAGCCAAGAGTTAAAATCCACACATCTTAAAGTTGCCAAGTTTCAGATACATTGGATTAGTTATTCACTGCTCCATAGCAGAAACTCCTTTCAAGGTGTGCCTTTACGTCATTATCTAGCTAATTCCCTCTTGAGTATCTGTTCTTCTTCAGGAAGACATGTATGTTGATTTTAAATGGATAAACTGCCAAAATTTAAGGACCACTCTATTTTTAAGACAGATTTATACAGGAAGTGGGATAGATTAGTTATTTTACTTCACTTATTGATTATACAGTGACTGATTTGCATAAGACACTAAAATATTTGCTTCTCCATTTTGGTTTAAGAAGTGCTAATCCATCCACTAGGTGTCATATGCTCCTACTACTGAATTACTTTTGATACCGATGAAGTGGATATAAGCCGTTTCTGTCTCTATAGACAAACATGACAAATCCTAATATTATTATATTTATCTGACTACTTTAATTAAATGAAATTAAGAGATGCAGTTCTGTACTTAGAAATTAATGTTAAATTAATGTTATCTTTGAGAAAAAATAAAGCATCAGTAATCATACATATTACTCTACAACAAACGTAACTGGAGTTCAGTGGAGTTTATACCGAAGGTGTTTTTTGTTTTTTTTTCAAGAGGCAACTGGATTTTCTGGTTTTTCTTTGAAGATGTTTCGCTTCTCATCCAAGAAGTTTCTGAAGAAGCTTCTTGGATGAGAAGTGAAACGTCTTCAAAGAAAAACCAGAAAGTACAGTTGGCTCTTGAAAAAGCACCTTTGGTACAACTATGACCTGGTTGACTGAGAATCTCCATAGACATTGAGTTCATTTAGTTGTTGAAACCACTATATTTTCAGAAATAGAGAAGAAGTATGTTGTACAGTGCGTAAGTAGGTTGGACCAAGGTGGTATTAAGCTGGTGAACCAAGGAACATCAGGTTCTAGCTCTTCCTTAGTTACTGAAACTTACTAAGTGACTTTGGTTG